TCTAAATCCAGCAATTGCATTTCAAAGTTGCCAATGTCAATATTAAAGGGAGAAAAATTTAATTCTGTTACAGTAGCACTGAGAGGTTTTTAACAAAGGCTAATGTTGCCTTGCTGTTTCTGAATTCCTGAAACCTGTTGAGAAAAGCTTCCCTCATATTTAAAATACTGCACGTGGTATTTTGTGGAAAAGCCACACTCAAGGGGCCAAAGAGCAGTGGTTTGCCGACCACTGGTCTAACCACTGTGCATACACCTGAAACTAATACAAGAATAAATAATACTGAATGTAAACTGTAATTGATTAAAAAAACTCTAACCCCCCCCCCCACTTAATTTTTGCTATTGTCACTGCTGTCTTAAATTAAACCATAATCTATATACCCTATTACTGCATTAGCTTCTAGAAAGCTGTCTCCAGTTTCTCTTCTACCTCCAATCTGCCAACATTCTCTTAAAAAGTAAATCTTATTTTATTCTCTTGCCTAATAATGTTATCTGTCATACCTAGCTCATGCCAGGCTCTGAACTACAACGTTTTTAATCCTCAATATTAGCTCCTTCCATTTTACAAAGATAGTTTGTCCCATATATAACTTTCATTCTTTCCACCACTTACTCTTATCCATCTCACCGTTAAGTCATTCAAAAATACTTGATTTTCCAAATAGATCATGTACGCTTTTTATTATTAGCTGCATGCCCTTGCACAAACTATTGCTTTTGCCTGATATAATCAATTTTCAAAAGTAGTGCAAATAAAATTTACCCTAAGCAGAAGGTTTGATTTAGTAGTACCCATAGTATTCTGTAAAACCTTTATTATAATAACTATTCAATTACATTTTAATGGTTAACATGTGACTTTTCCTTAAACTGTGAACTTCTTGAGAGCAAGGTCTATTTCAGTAGTCAGCAATCTGCGGCTCGCGAGCCACATGAGGTTCTTTGGCCCCTTGATATGGCTCTTCCTAAGCCTTAGGAGTACCCTAATTAAGTTAATAACAATGTACCTACCTATATAGTTTAAGTTTAAAAAATTTGGCTCTCAAAAGAAATTTCAATCGTTGTACTGTTGATATTTGGCTCTGTTGACTAATGAGTTTGCTGACCACTGGTCTATTTGATAAAGATGTATGATGACAGAACATTAACAGGAGTAATATTTATGGAATGTTTTTTACTTGCTATTACAATACTAGCCCTTACTATTACTTTAGTATTCAATAGAACAAACATTCCTGTTTGTGGATAGGAAAATAAGTTTCAAAAAAGTTCAATAAGCTACTACTCCATGTGACAAAACAATGAAATAGCTGAAGAAGGATGTGAACCCAGATATTTCTGAAGTCAAGCTTATCAAGCCACTTCACAGATACTCAGTAAGTTATCTGCTAAGTAAACAATGTAATCAAATGAGAAATATCATTCACAAAACATCATGCTGGAGCTTACGCATATTGGCCAATTCTATAAAGTATTTTTATGAATATTCACAGCAAATTTTAAATTTCACTAGTTAATATGCTTCAAAACCACACATTCCAATCTCATCTAGTTAGTATATGACATAATTCTAAATACTATTCTTTATCCAAAAGATACTTAGGGATCTGAATTAAAAAAACACAACCAATATGAGCCGAATTAATGATTTAGTTCAGTGGTCGGCAAACTCATTAGTCAACAGAGCCAAATATCAACAGTATAACGATTGAAATTTCTTTTGAGAGCCAAATTTTTTAAACTTAAACTATATAGGTAGGTACTTTGTTATTAACTTAATCAAGGTATTCCTAAGGCTTAGGGAGAGCCACACTCAAGGGGCCAAAAGCCGCATGTGGCTCGTGAGCTGCAGTTTGCCGACCATTGCCTTAACTAATATAATAGGAATTCTGTTTGTGAAGTATAGATAATTAAGACTGGATTATAATAATAAAAAACAGTGAATAACCTCATTAACTGATAATCATAAAGTTGACATATCTGTTATAGCACCATCATGTGGAGATTCATTTTTTCATATGGCAAATATTTATTAATGTCTATTTTGTGCTAGGCATTGGTTTAGGTTTTTTCTTCTTCAGATTTTAACAGGGCTTTTTAAAAAATTATTTATTTATTTTATTTTATTTTTTATTGTGTAAAGTATTACAAATGGTCTAGGTTCTTGAAATATATCTGTGTAAATAGAGATATGACCCCTTGTGAAGCTAATGGTCTAGGTCAGGGGTCCTCAAACTTTTTAAACAGGGGGCCAGTTCACTATCCCTCAGACCGCTGGAGGGTCAGACTATAGTTTAAAAAAAAAACTATGAACAAATTCCTATGCACACTGCACATATCTTATTTTTAAGTAAAAAAACAAAACGGGAACAAATACAATATTTGTATTTGCATGTGGCCCGCGGGTCGTAATTTGAGGACCCCTGGTCTAGGTGCTGGGGCAAACAAATAATTAATGATAAACATTATACAGTAGCTACAAGTCAGTTATAAATTCTATGTTAAAGAGAAAAAGTAGAGCAAAGGAGATCAAGCATGCGAGGAGGGGGTAGCAGATAGAATGCAGTATTTTAACAGGGCTCACGGAGGCCTCTTCAAGAGGTACAAAGACTAGAGGTGAGAATTAGCCAGGTTGTTATCTCAGAAAGAGGTACAAGCAGAGGAAACAACAACAGCAAAGGTTTCATGCTAGTGCATGCCTGGAGTGTTCAAAGAAAAGAAAGAATGACCAGTATATATAGAATTTTGAGAGTAAAGGGAGAGAAGTATAAAAGGAATTTAGAGGAGTAACTGGGAACCAGATCTTTTAGGGCCTTGCAGACCATTGTAAAGACTGCCTCTTTTGGTTCCCTTTCTTTCTTTAGGTCCCTGCTGAAATGCTACCTATGACAAGCAGAAGGATTAACTAGACTACTTGATATAATCTAGCAATTTACCCCCTTATTCTGCTTTCTTTTCTCCATAGCATTTAATACTATCTGACGTACTTATCTAGTTGTTATGCAAATTCTCCAAGTAGGACAGGGACTTGGCTTTGCTCACTGCTATACCCCTAATGCAAAAGTACCTGGCACATAGTAGATACTCCTAAAAAAAAAAAAATTGTGAATGAAAGAAAATAATTTTGCATTTTTGTTTTTATACTTCACTCTCATATTCCTGGTCATTATGTGTTTCCACAGGAGAGGTGGATCTATTTTCACTTGATATGTTGATCAAATTAGGTTTCTAAGCCTACTGGCTGAAAAGTTAACACTGAACTACAATAAATTCACAAGGGTATTATAATCTTAAGAATCTCTCTTGGTCTCTTGGTAGATTCACGGTCTTTTGATTACCATTAGGAGTAAAACATATATTTCTATCTGAATTTCAATAAACCTCTATATTTAATTTTCCAGTGTGCATCCAGCTTATATGTTTCCATTCCTGTGACTCTTTTGCATATAGTGTGTGATACTTACGTTAACTTCAATCTTTTTGCATGACCAGGCATTATAGGAACATAAAGCATTTTGACTCCCTGTACCACCATTGTTGGCTCAATTCCATACTTTTCCTGAAAGAGAATATCCAAAAGAGAAACAATTATCAAAGCTCCATCTAAATATAAAGTTTTGGGTGACAATGTTTTACAGCCAGTAAAAATAATACTTATAAAATTGTCACATAAATTTATGTATAAAAACTAAGATTCAAAGCAACTAATGTATAAAAAACAAACTCAAAGCAACTAAGTGAATACATGTCTCACTTTGACAGCATTTATAAAATCCAAGAGGGTGAAATCTTCTTTTCCATGTATAGTCCATCGGTCCCAAATTGTAAATGATATTCCATTTCTGTTGTAGAAAATATTCAGAACAAAAACATTTTAATTTTCTTCCCTTTAATAATAATAATAAAAAGCCCCAAGAAGTCCATTATTTGTAATTTAGGTAGATATTAATATGGGGGGGAAAAGGAAAATACAACTCCTAATTATTCCATAAACTTATTTCTCCAACAGACCACACAAGTAACCACGTTTATCAGTTCCTTAGTGATTTTTCTAGCATCTCATTATAAATCAGTATGACTTAGTGAGAGTCTTCCCCCTCTCTTTTTTTAATCACCTGCATGAGTTTCACTGTGTGGATGTTACAGTGCCCTACTACTGAACAGTTGGGTTGCTCTAATCTTTGGTTATGACAAATGATGCCAGAATGAATATCTTGTACATATATCATTTGATATGAATGTAAATGTATCTGCAAATCTGAAATACAGTGCTACATTCCCCATATTATGGGTTACACTACTTTATACTCTCATCAGTGATATATGAAAGTGCTTTCTCACAGTCTTGCCAAGACAGATGTTTTCAAATTTTTGGTTGTTGCCAGTCTGGAAAGCCAAAAATGAAGATTAGGGCAAATGCTTTGCTTTGTCACATAGCTTTTGGAACTAGATTCTAAATCGGATAATCCATTAGTCAGAAACTAAGGTGTCTTCTAATTCATTTAAGTTAGGTATATGAAACCATAAAACAGTACAATGCTAAACAGTGTGACAGATTAAGTATTGTGAGAGTTGCATGGCTGGTTTAGTCAAAAATACTTCAAGAAGATAGGGTTTTCACCTGTTCTTGAACTATTGGTAAGAATTTATAGATTTAGAAAAAAAGAAAATGTGAAGTTAGTATTTTTCCCTTTTGAAAGGTAAAAATTTTATTATGTACAAGAAATAGACCTTCATGCATACCTGATTTCAGTTTTTCTTACTTCAGATGTTTCTGTAAACACTATAATTGGAATGGCTAAGTTAAGGAAACAATTTTTGTAAGCTTCAAAGGGACAGCCAGCAGCTACTTTGATCATCTCCAATGCAACCTAGATTAAAAAAAGGTACACTGATTATATAAAAGGCTAAAACTAGTAATATAAATTTCTTATAAGTCTCTCCAGTTTTAGCATACATACTTTCAAACTCTCCACCTGTTCTCTACATGGTAAACAAGGTTATTAGAAAATATATGTTAACTTAACCAGGTAATCTTCCTACTTTGAAAGCAGATAGCAAAACTCAAAAATACAATTGTCTAAGCACAATACAGGGGCAGATAACTACATTACATGACTTCTAAGAATAACACTGTATACAGTGTAATAATTAGGGCCATTGTAAAGATTCTGAATCATTAAGGGAAGATTAAATTGTAAGAAAACTGAATCACAAATAGGGAATTACAATTTTTTAAGGCAGAACACTAAAATCCAACAGCAAAGATCAGGGCAGTTTATTTTATTCAAGAAAAAGAATACCTGCTTGGTATGGAGGACACAAAGATGATTAAGAGGATTAGTGCCTGTAAGAAAAATTAGACTATCTTGACAGAGCTTATTTTTTTAATGTTAAAATGTTTGTATACCCGCCCAGCTGGCATGGCTCACTGATTGAGCATCAACCTATGAACCAGGAAGTTACAGTTTGATTCCTAGATGGGGCACATGCCTGGGGTTGTGCTCAATCCCTAGTGTGGGGCATGCAGGAGGCAGCTGATCAATGATTCTCTCTCATCATTGATGTTTCAATCTCTCTCCCTCTCCCTCTCTGAAATCAATAAAAATATATTTTTATTGTAAAAATTTAAAATGTACATTACTTTAACAAATGTCTTGCAACTTTAAATTATAAGATCAATATGTATACCTCTCCTTTTCTAAGATCTCTGAGTGACTGGTTGGAGGTAGTACAATGGGAAAAAAGGAAAGAGGCTATGAAAAAGATGCATTTTCACTGAAATAATAATAAACTCACCAAGCCAGAAACTGCAGCAGTGGTTGTTGCTATAGCAGGTATAATTTTACCAGCTATGCGCTTTGTTTTGAAACGGTCAGCTGGTTCAATGCTATACATTTTAGCTCGAAGATTTGATGCAGCTGTGATGAAATCTATGTGTCCATTACGATCATCATCTTTTTCAAATGAAAGGACTGCCATCTGAAGGTCACCTAATCATAACAACCAGAAAAATAAGTTTCCTAGTAAGTGGTAAAGATTTTACCAGGTGAAAAGCAATGTGGGTTCACTACTCTTACAGGTTCTTTTTTGTTTGTTTTTGAATGACCGAAATGTACAAGAAAAATGCAAGGAACTGTAGATATTGAAGGAAATGAAAATAATGGCTTTTATATCACTAGATTAGAGAAGTTTCTAGATTATAAAAAGTTTTCTAAAAAATAGAAAAATAAGAAAGCCATGTACCACATCTGCTAGTAAGTGGTTTACAATAAAAAGTCAACAGTGGATATTCTTTGAAAGTTGATTTGAAACATACTACTCTGAAACATTTGATCTTTGATAACTAAGAATAGGGTAAGTTGGTCAAATAAAAATATGCATCCTTTTTAAAGATTTCTAGATCAGTGGTTCCTATAATCATTCTGTAGATAGGTATAATTTGATCTGTGATGAAATGAAAAAGAAATCATAGTATGTTTTTTTCCAGAACTATAGTTAATTAACTAAGATGGTTACCTTTTATTTGTAAAATAAATAATCCTGGTTGTTTTCCCTGAATTTTCTTGGTCTATGCATAAAATCCAAAAGTTTGGGAACTACTGATTTATGTAATAGAAAAATGATGAGCAGGTCTAAAAACATGAATTAGTAGCTCTGTTTTTAAGGAATTTACTGTTCAGTTTCGCTATGTTTAAGACAAAGTATGTGTGTAGGTCAGTTTGTATTCCCTGTGTGTAATTATGGAGACTAAGAAGCCAAGAAAAAAAAATCTGTCTATACATTTTTATCCTGAAGTGACTTACTTGTCTAACTTAATGACTCCACTTTTTGCTCATTATGCTAGTCATAAGTTAAAAAGGAGTCACAACAGAATCTAAAAAAATCAGAACAATAACAAAGCAGACTTACATTTGAGCTTTTGAGAGTAGGGCAATGGTGGAGAAAATTATGAATTCAGTCACAGTTTAAGATCAACAGTATCTTTCCTTAGATCATGAAATCAATTAATATCATTACTATTATTATTATTAAATCCCATAAGCTTTTGGGTGTAGAACTTAGCAAAAACAGAAATCTCTCCAAGTTCAAAACATTTTAATAAAGATTAGTTCTTACTTGTGGTAGCTTCATTAGATGACATAATCTTTTCTAGTTGGAAAATAGCATTCCTCTCATCTTCACTGCTGATAGGAATCTGGTCTGGTTTCCGTGCTGTTTCATCTGTTTGAACAACCTTTAAATACATGTATACATGTTCATTAATGTATCATATCCAATATCTAGGTTTGGTTATCATACCTGTTTTATCAAATAAGTCACAAGAGAAAATATTCCCCCTACCTAGTTTAATCAGATTATTAATCATTATGGTGCAATGTGTTTTATGCCTTCCACTAGTTACATATGGTTGGGGAACATCCAGCCCATGGACCACAAAGGCCTGTGGGCTGTATAAAGCCTGCAAAATCATTTGGTCTGCCCCTGCAAGGCATTAGGGATGAGTTAATTAAATGATAGACCACATAGAGTAGGCTAATTTTTAAGTTGATAATTTAAAAAAAAGTTTATATTAGATTTTAGAGAGATAGGAAGGGAGAGAGTTAGAAACATCAATGATAAGAGAGAATCATTGATTGGTGGCCTCCTGCACATCCCCCCACTGAGGATCGAGCCTGCAACCTGGGTATGAGCCCTGACCAGGAATTAAACCTTCGACTCTTAGTTCCTGGGATGATGCCCAACCACCAGTACTACATCGGCCAGGGCTAAGTTGATAATTTTGTATGGTCCTCGAATGTTGTTATAAATATCCAAATGACCCTTGGCAGAAAAAAGGTTCCCCACATTTGCAGAAGTTGGTAATGTTATGTTGTTTATATGTTTTCTTTATTATCTGTCTCCTAACACTGACATCTAAACCCTACAAGAAACTTTTTTCTCAAGAATGCTTACTTTGTTCACTAAGAGAACCACAATAAATATGTATATATAACAAACTTGTTTATAGTGAGTGTTAAAAATATTTACTGAATAGCTTGTGAGCTCTGAATTTATATGGTTCTCTTTAAAATTCCACACTAAAATAAAGTTGATAATAATCAAAAGTTGTGATGCTCACAAATCTACTTCAAAACAAACTTCATGGCTCTAACTAGTACAGAGCTGTTTTCTGTCTTCGAAGAAACAAGAGATCCATAAAATACATAGGTATCCTTTAAATATTTCTTAATTGCTGACAAGCAATTCTTTTCCAATGAATATGTCTTTCTTTATACAAATGCAGGGCAACATATACAAGTAATTTATCCTTAAGGAATTACTTACTGGACATTCCATGATGGTAGTAAAGTTAATATTCTCAAACTAAGAAACTAACTACATCATCAGTAATTAAAGTACTATTTTTTATTTTAAAAAGACATCTAACTCAAATTTTTATAACCCTAACCTGGATTCTCCAGGTTTAGAATGGAATTTGACACATACAGAAGTTCAGTAACTATTTGCCAAATAAAAGAATTTCTAAACGTACCTTACTGGAAGGTTTGAATTCCTGAATCTTTACTTCTGAAAGAATATTCAAGAGGGCACCTGCTGATATGTCCTGTTTTTTAAAAAAAAGTAATTTATGAACAAACTTTTTCTTTTAATTCTGAATTCTAAAGCTAAAATCTTCCTATAAAAAGTCCCTTTTCATATAAAAATATTTGAATAATTTATCATGTGGCTATTTAGACTATACCTATTTATGACATATACCTATCTTTATTTCTATAGAAATATCAACCCAAAAGACTGGGGGAACAGTAGTATGTGCAAAAAACTACTTTTTCGTCAAGAAACTTAAAATCTTAGTTTTTTCCACAAATTTTTATAAAGGTAGTTTTACAACTGCTTGTATCAGACTGAGTGCTTTAAGATTGAGGACTATGTCTTCATTGTTTTACAAAGCTCTCGGCATAAAATTATACTCAATAAATAAAATAAATAAGTAAATTGAATTCATATCTTTGAAAACATGAATATATTTAAATGGTTCAAGATGAACTTTGATAAATTTAAGGTTATCAGATCCATATTTACTATTAAGAAACTGCTTAGGAAAAACTGAGACAAACTGCTTTTGAGGTCACCTATGATACATCACAAAATTACCACTCTTTTTACAAAAAGAATACTAGACTATATGCCATTATTTTTACTGGACATTCACAGCATATTTTACTATATATTAACTAAAAAGAATTGATCTACAACAGGCATTTTTATCTGGATCCTAGGAAGCTAGATCTATTTGGATCTAGATCTAAAATAGGCAGAATTTTATGAATCTGGTTCATATTTCCCCATTCAGCCTATTTAAAAGTGTTACAATTTACTTAACTCTACTATGCATTTGTGGGGAAAAATTCACTACTGCAAATTTGCCTCTCAAATGAAACTGCATTGGATCCTTTACAGTTAGTCAAAAAGATAATGCTTAACAGAATGGATATGATGATAAGGACTAAGAGATGTCAATATGAGGTAGCATTTTCAAATTTCCTGAAAAGAATATAAAAAAGCATCATAAAATAAGCCAAACCAATATTAACAAAGAGAATCTCTAAGGAATATTTTAAATTTGTTATAAAACAGTTCCTTTTGGGTGTCAGAGTAATTACAATTGAAGTTACTATGTTATAAATGTTTTAAAAATAAAGCTAAGGCTGCTTTTATAAATGTGTTTCACTACTTAAACTTAGGAAGAAAGAAAATTAACTTTCTTCTACTTAATAATGCTGCAATGAGATTTTAGCTTTTGCTATGGGCAACAATGCAACAAAATAAAAAAAAAATTATCATAATATATTAAACACATTGTGATGGTGGAATTAGCTGATAAGTCATCTAATTCTAGCCTGGCTTTGTTTCATTTGCTAAAGCTTCAAGAATATCTTACCTCTTCTGTAAATGGAATGCAATAGATTGTAGCATATAATTTTGCAGCATTCAGAAGAAAACTGAAGTGCCTTTGAAATTAAAAAAACAAAAAACAAAGTGTGAATTCACAGTTTCAAATAAGATGTTTAATTCATCAGAAACTAGTCTTTAAAATGTTGAAGAAAATAACTGTAAAATTTTTGTTACAAGATTATTTTTTTAAAAGGCTGTGAAATTCTGGTCTAGATCTAAGTACTGTACAGGCTATAGACAGAAAATAGCAGATGTTTATCCTCATAAGCACTGATATTTCAAAGTAGTGACTGTGATTACTTTGGGGATATGAGTGGTCAGAGAAGCAAAAATTATACTAGTGAAAGAAAATTCATAAAAAAGCATTACATATTTGGTTTTAAAAAGTGTATGTCAGGTGGTTCATACTAGGCAAAAGAGTACATTAAAACAAAGAAAGGTAAGTTTGATAGAACAAGCAGTCAGGATTAGGTGAGTGGAAGCCTAAAATAAGCACCGGATGAAACTCTAAGCATAAAGGAAGGCTTACACATGAAGTGTTTAATATGTGTGTGTGTGCTTTTATATATATACTAGAGGCCGGGTGCACATAAATTTGTGCTCTTGGGGGGGTGGGGGGGTCCCTCAGCCCAGCCTGTGCCCTCTCGCAGTCTGGGACCCCTTGGGAGATAACGACCTGCTGGCTTTTAGGCCTGCTCCCAGGTGGCAGAGGGCAGGCCCAATCCCTAGGTGCAGCCCCTGGTCGGGCTCAGAGCAGGGCCGATTGGGGAGTTGGGGAGCCGCCCCCTGTCATACACAGAGCAGGGCGATCGGGAGGTTGCAGTGCCACCCTCAGTCACGCTCAGGGAAGGGCCAATTGGGGGTTGGAGCACCGCCCCCGTCACACTCAAGGCAGGGTCGATGGGGAGGTTGCGGCGCCACACTGTCATGCACAGAGAAGGGCCAATCAGGGGGTTGGGGCTCCGTACCCTGTCACACACAGAGCAGGGCCGATCAGGGGGTTGGGGAGCTCCCCCCTGTCATGCACAGAGCAGGGCCGATGGAGAGGTTGGGGAGGTCCCCCCTAC